TTTTTTTTTTTTTTTTGAATGTATTTTTTCCTTCATTTTTTATTTACCAACTGATATTTGGGTTTTTTTTTTTTTTTTTTTTGAGCTAGGCATTGATTCAGTTTCGGCATCGCTAGCAGTTTTAAACTTGTTAAAGAATTTTTTACTCTGTTAGCTAACATTGTAATAGCGTTACTTTAGACAGAACCAGATGTTTTGAAAGACTCGTTACGAACAGCTTTAGATATTGGCTATCGTTTGATTGACACCGCACAGGTTTACGGTAACGAGGCAACTATTGGGGAGGTTCTTCATGAATACTTTTCGTCTGGAAAATTGAAACGGGAAGAAGTTTACATTATGACAAAGGTAGGGAGCAGTATTTTAGGCATTTTGGCAGAATGGTAGGCTAAAAGGCTCACTTTTCTGTCTTTTATAAGTTATAGCAGTGAGACTGTTTCTAAATATTACATGTAAGACGAACTTGTATAACAATCTAAGAAATGATTTATTTCTAGTTTAGTCTCAGATTCTCACCAAAACAAATGAGAGCAAAGGGAGATTTACATAGCGCATGTTTGGCTGTTGCGAAAATTGCCCTTAGAATGGTTTTTTATGGAACATATAGTTTCCTGTTTGTTAACACCTAATACGGAAAAGTATTGGTAAAAATATGTCAACTTGCTTGCTTCAAGAACGGAACTTATTACTTTTTATACTGTCAAAAAATGATGTGTTTTTTGAAACAGATTCTTTATGGTATTACAATTTTTGCTCGTATTGAGTTTCTACAGCTAGTCGCAGTCCTGTGACTCATAAGTTCTTCAAACAATTTTTTTTTTTGAAGAAAAGTATTTATTATTTTGTGGCGCTTTGAGAATACCTGAGAAGAACTCTATCAAAAAAATGTTGCGTTTAAAACAGGAAAATTTTTTAAGTCTTTCTGAAAACATTTTAGTAATGTCAAGTCATACTGCAGCTTAATCAGATGCTCTCATGAAATAATAATTTGAACCACATTTTAAGCAGGAAGATCTAGAAATCTTTGTTTTTTTGTTTGATTTTTGTACAAATTAGTTCTTTTCTCGTAATCCTTAAAAATAATTTCTTGTTCTAGCTTCCATTTTATGTTTACACCCCTGAAGATATTCAACGGTGTTTTGAAAAGCAGCTTAAAGACCTTCAAGTGGATTATGTTGATCTGTACCTTATGCATTCACCATGTATCGGGGAAGTATGCTTAACAGTTTCTAGTTCTCTATTTTATTTTCACGCAACAATATTTGTTGGCTAATCTGATGTTAGGTGGTTCATTGTTGCAACTGTACAATTGGTAGTAACTAGTGTTTTGCAGAACGTTTTCAATGAATCAAGTGGTAGATTTGAGCCGAAAATTACTGATGGAGAATTCAATTTTGTTTTTATTGATTATAATCCAGTTCAGATATGGCGATGTTTAGAGGATTTTTACGAAGATGGTAGGGCTAAGGTAAGCAACAAGTGAATTTTACGGCACTGTATGCCGTAGTTACTTCTTAGTCTTGCTGAGTAACATTGTTTAGAAGAACCACTTTTTTATGAAATTTATCAGCTTTTTTTCTGTTTTAGGCTATTGGATTATCTAATTTTAACATAAAGCAAGTACAGCAGGTTCTGGATCGTTGCGCGATTTGGCCGTACAATTTGCAGGTTTATACTCTCTTTGAAAACTCAAAGGGGGTCTTAGTTTTAGTGCTGTTCTTGAGGTTAAAACCAATTTATATTCAGATTTTAAAGGTGAATTTGCTATAGTGAGTCTTCAAATGGTATCTCGTCTTCATCCCAGTCACTTCAAAATTACCTTCTTTTTGAGTTTATTTTTACGCCATTTTCATGTAAATTTATGTTTTTATGACATGCATGAGTAAACTTATTCGTTTTCCTTTTTTTTTAAAGTTTACTTTTAATTACATGTTGCCTTCAATAGTTTTCTTCTTGTTTCATTTTTTTTTT